CAAATAAGTGACTCTTTTGAATCCAAAAATCAGGACATATGGTCTGCCACAAAGGTGTGTCCTTCAGAGGACAACAAGACAGAGTATTTAAAAACAGGATGGCTGCCCTGGGAAGGCTGGGGTGGAGTGTCATCAAGGTCTCACTGTCCTTCCCCACTGTCTGGGGAGAGTCTGACTCCTAGCAGTCTGCAGTACCCTGGGAATGACCAAAGAAGCCATTCTAAACAACAGTGCCACTTTCCTACCCCACAGCTGACTCCTGCTTAAACCCCAGCCTTGTTTCCAAAGAAGCCCTTAGAGGGGCAGGAAGGATTCCAGAGGCCTGAGACCTGAGAGCTGTCCGGGAACTCAGCCCATCTCCAGAGGGGGATGCCACCAGTCTGGAGGCACCAAGGCCATTGGGAATATCAGCTAGTGACAAATGCAAGAACTTCACTCTCACTCAATGGTCTACACACATTTTGTAACCAAACTTTGCCCCAGAAATATTCTTTGTTTCAGGCACCATTTCCCTACCTGCCCCTCACGAAGAGGTAATTAAAATGTCTCAAAATCACACCCAATCAGAACAGTGATGATCCCTTAAAGGAGAAACCACCATCTGGGGCCTAATTGTTCTAAGTAAGCTCAGTAACTGAGCTTACCTAAGAAGATTAACAGACTGGGAGAGGAAGGAGAAGCAGACACTGCCTTAGAAAGGGAGTGGCTGGCTGCTTGGCTGCCGTGGTGCAGGCTCCAGAAGACCCACTTCTGTTACTGAAAAACGTGGGAGTCTTGACCAGGCACAAGCTCATGTGTCATTTCCAGGGCTCCCACTCTTTGTCCCAGCCAGGTGTTACCCAGGACGTGGCCTGCCTTGCCCAGGGTTACACTGAGTCAGCTGGAGGGAGTCAATACCAGAGTTTTCATGGAGCAAAGTTTGCATAGATCAACCCATTTCTAGCTCACAACCACCTGAATGGAGGACGATTATGAACCCTGTCAGGGCGATGAAGAACACGGGCTCCAAGAGGTTAACTGACTGGCTCAGGGTCACCCAGCTACAGGTAGAGTCTGGATTGAAGCCCAGGTGCGAGGCCATGCACTTTGTCACACAGCAGTGAACCTCATCATTGGGAGGCCAGAGGATGACATTCTGGGGATAGAGGGACTCCCTCCAGAGAGAGCAGCTGGGACTGCCCTCCTAGGGCCAGGACTGACCTGTGAGCCAACAGGGAGCTGACATGCTGTTTTTCTCCGTCTTTATCCCCATCCCCTCAGGCTGCCACCTCAGTTCTAGGCCCCCGTGCCAACAGACCCGCTGGATGCCTGGTTAAGGTGCAGGGGCTGACCCAGCAGGTCTGCAGTGGGCCCCAGAGTCTATATTCCTCACACGCTCCCACGTGATACCCACGCTGCTGCTTCGCTGACCACACCTCAGGCAGCGACAATCTAGACTTGAGTCGACTTTTCTCACACCCCACCCCACCCTTCTTAACTTGTGCGATCACTGCCTAGCTGGAACTCACAGAGGCCTGTCATGTAGCTGCTACACATTTTGGGTTTGGGGCTTTTTTTGCCTTTTTTTTTTTTTTGAGATGGGAGTGATTAAAGTGGTACCCACAGCGGAGTATGAGGCAGAAAATGGATTCCCGGCGTCTGGTTTCAGCTTGGCATTGGCCCTTTTCTTCCTCATTCACTTCTTGGCTGTCTGAACTAATTTATCTCAAAGGAGTCGGGCTGGAGCAGCATGCTCTGAACATGTCCACTATTTCAAGCCCTTACTGGGAGGGGCTGCTATGCGCCCGCCCCAGGAGAAGCAAATGCTGCTGAGTAGGGAGGCCTCGGGCAGCAGGAGCACATGTGACTCCTCCGCTCAGACCCCTCCCTTGGCTTCCACCTCATTCAGCAAAAAGCCAAAGCCTTAACCATGACCTCTAAGGCCCGAGGTGATCTGGCCCAGCCACCTCTCTGCCCTCATCAGGCCTCGGCTCTTGTCCCCTCCGTGGCCCCGGATCCTATCTTAAATGCTGCCTTCCGGTGCCCTCCCTGGCCACGTATTAAACCAGACACTTTTGTGACCCCCACCCCCAGCCCACTCCCAAAGCACTGCTGCCTCTTCCCTCTTGATTCCCCTCTGATACCACTTAGCATCATCTGGCAGCCTATAAATTTTACTTACTGATTTTTATTTATGTCTCCCCGCCCCTTCCCCACTAGAATGTGGACTTCATAAAGGCAAGGACATTTGTCACTTTTGTCTGTTTTGTTCACTGGTATATCCCCAGTGCCTACAACAGTGCCTAGCATATAGCAGGTACTCGATACCTGTGGAATGAATGAATGAATGAAGGGCCTACATACTAACAGGTCAGACTGACGAGCCCTGGGAGTCAGTTCCTGTGATCCTTGTAACAGCCCCTGCAAACTCAGTCTTTTCCTCCCCATTCTAAGATAAGGAGAGACCGAATCTCTGAGTGGTTAGTTAAGGGATTTGGCTGAGAACGCAGAGCTAGGCTCGGGCACCAGTCTGCCCAGTTCCAAAGACTGTTCTTTTCTGCCTGTGGCTGCCTTCAAACTGTCTTACTATGACAAACGTGACGTTAACTCACTTTCCTTATTGTAACCAGCAAATGCTTTTGCTTAAGGATTTTCCCAAATCAGCCCAGAATCTGAGGTCCAGTTCACCCAAAAGGATCTAGGGGGGAGCTGATGCCCTCAAAGCCAGGAAGAAATTCTACCACCAGACTCAGGAAGCCCCCATCAGCCAAAGGAAGGGAAGGACCCTCCTTCAAACATTTCTCTGAACCCCAAAGAAGAGCCACAGTAATTCTGGTTTTGTTTCATCTTTTTCTTTACTTTATCTTGTTATGTTCCTGACCAATCTCTCTGACCTTTTCAAGTCCGTGTGACCTTTTGCCAGCAATGGCAGTTACTAACCATGTGGGTTCTCGGGCAGAATCTATCTCTCATGAGCTTCCCAAAACCAAACCTGCACACGGACCCATGGACCACTGTGCCACACACAACCCACTCCCCCAAAAGCTGCATAATGACTGAGGCTCAGGCCCCAGGGACCAGGCCCTGGGAAGGAAGCCAAGTTTGTGGGGCTGTGAAGGTAAAATGGGCCTGGGCCACCAAAGCCCATCTAGAGGCCACCATAGTGTGAGCCGTCCCTCTTCCTCCTCGACTCATCACTCTCAATCCCATTACTTCGCCTGTTTTCTTCAAATCACTTCTCACTCTGAAGCTATCCCATTTATTGATTTCTGTATTTGCCATTGCTGGTCTCTTCAGAAGAGGTTCAGTATGTGAGGGCTGGAGCTTGGTCAGTGCTGCTCACTCACCCCTGTTCTGTTCCCGGCACAGGTGGGCACGCAAATGTTGGCTGAATGAAGGAGTAAATAAAACAGAAAATAAGTGGGATCTGAAGGAAAAGGACCAGGAGGCTTGCAAATGAACCCATTTAACCCTAACATCAACCTGCCCGGAAGGTATTTTATGCCTACACAGCTGGGAAGTGACAAAGTAGACCCAGGACTGTCCCAACTCCAAGAAGAAATGAGAAAATCCCGCAGATAAGGAGAGGAGAAGCAAGAGGACAAGCTGGTGAGCCTTACAGGAAGGGCAGGGTCAAGCTGCCATCAGGGCCCATGGGCCTGCACACCATTTTCCTCGAATGCTTAATTAGAGAAGAGGCAACATTTTCTACCGAGCTGAGCCCAGATAGGTCTATGCCTCCCTCCATGCCCCTAGGAGAGTCATGGTACCTGCATCCCACCCCCCCCCACCCCCGGCCTCCGGGGGAACCTCTGCCCAAAGCAAGGTACCATAGTTGAGAATGTTCTTATTTCAAGGCACTAACACCATAAAAGACACAATCATAAACCACTCTTGAACAAGACACTTGACATCCCTCTCCAATTCTGGGTAGTTTGAGGTTAGAAGGTTGAAAATAGCGTGATGTCCTTTCTTAGAGCAGGGTCTTCCATTCATTCATTCTTTCATTCGTTTGTTCAGCCAACATTTGCTCACCCAGCCTCGAGCTGCCAGGGATGAAAGAACACAAAACCTCTGCCCTCTCCCCAGTACACTGGTGCCCGCAGTTTTGGCGGGTACTGAAAAACCAGCAAATATTAAAGATACTTCCTTCCAAAACAAATAAGTCCACGTGGAGCTGTGCTCTGAAATGGGATTTTGGATGCAATTTTGATTTGATTGGGTACAAGAACCAATTCAGTCAGCTGGGCCATAGACTAACTCCAAGCAGCAGGCTCCTACTCAATGGCTCCCTCCGACCCCTTCCCCCTCTGGGCACCAAACCCCTAGGCCCCCCAACCCCATTCTTCAACCACATTCCCACCTCTCTCTACCATATGCTCTCTCTGACTCTCCTGACTCTGTTTCCCCTATATTCCCAAACCCGACCTCTCTAGGTCCACAGCTTTGACATTCTACTCTCTGAACCCCAGAGCACACATCTCCCCTGCCTTCCCCCACCACCCTCTATACTCACCCCAAGTCTGAGCTTCCACCTGAAGCCCCTTGAACGTCATGTGTTTACAACCCATATTTCCCAGGGGTCTCTGTTCGACACCCCCCCCCAGTACAGCACACGCACACCCTGTAATCCCCTGCACACTTCCCGGCCGTGCCCCGGGGGAGCACTCTCCCCCATCGCCCCCAACTTCTTAGGACCCGAAGGCCGCCCGGGCCCCTGGGATCTCGCTCGGGCAGCCGGCTCCTTGACCCCCCGGACGCGCTGACCCCGCAGGAGCCCGCCCGCACGCCGGAACTCTGGGACGCCGGGCACTGCCCTGGCCCGCCGGCCGCCCCGACCGCGTGACGCCCGGGACCCGGGGCTGCCCAGGCCCCGGCCCCACGCACCTCCCCGGCGCGGCCCCCGCGAACCCGGCCGCGCCCCTGCCTGCACCCCGCCGCGCCTCCCGGGCCCGGCCCGGCCCGGCCCGGAGGAGAGCGCGGTGCCCCCCGCAGCCCAGGCCGGCGCGCCCGGCGCCTACCGTTGGCGATGAGCTTGGCCGACAGCTGCTTGACGAGCTCGGGGATCCGCTCCCACTGGCACTCGGAGCGGCAGCGCTCGATCTCTGTCTCGAGCCGCGAGCCCGCCTTCCTGGTCGCCATCGCGGC